TCCCAACATATTCATACTGCTACTCATATAACTTGAGACTAAGCATGCAGGAGTAAACAACAAACTTCTACAATCATTTATGATTTTGGAAAATTATTATTTAATTCTCATCAGTGGAGCACTCAGGATTTAATCTTGGGGAATAGAGTTGAACAGATAAAAATATTTTTAATGTGGAATTCAATGAAATTCCCACCTTATGTGGACACTAAAGTCATAAGTACTATAGAAATAGAAGATAACAGAAAATAAATACAAAAAATAAATTTTAATTAGAAAAAGATTTTTGGAAAATTTTCTAGTTCTTTTGTTCCTTTTCCTTCAGGAAAATTACATTCTAATTTAGAATGTAATTTTCCTGAAGAAGATTGTACATTAACATACATTTATTATTCTAATTAACTTCTATAAATTGAAAGTCAAGGCTAAGAAAGCTTGGTTTTGATATAAAATAAAATGATGCAAGTTTTTAATATATAATTACTCTGTAACATATTTTAAATTTATTTATTAAAAATTTATAAAAGAAGAAAACATCTTACATAAATTTTATATACTGTATTAATAAATATGTGATAAAAGAAAAATTATCATTTGAAATAACATTTAATTTATTATAAATTTTATTTATATTAGATGACCATAACATTGATAAAACATGTAGAAAACTTATGATGTATAATGCTAGTTTACTTTAAATAGGTTAAATGTCAATATAGTATCAATTTATCTATTTCCTTTTTCATTTCATTATTTTTCATGTGTTTTGATGAAATATATTTTGAATAAAATTAAGTTGAAAAAATATTCTAAANGAACTAGCTGTTACCCGCGACTTTGCCCACGAAAATTTTGCAAGCAAACCCCATTTATATTCAGTATTTCAACAACCATAGTAATTGTTATATAACACCCACCGATGAGTTTTATAATTAATATAATTTGTATAAGTTTTATGATATCATATATTAACATATATCCTTTTCCTCTGGAATTATGTGTAATATACCTTATGGGGGAAATTCTGTTACTCATGCATTACAATTGAATTACTGGGAATAATAATAATTATATCTTGTGTGTGTGTGTAGAACAATGAGGGCTCTTGCGCAGGAGGCCTCTTTCGGTGGAGTTGTGGAGGGGACAGTCATGCACAGCCCTGAATTTTTTCCCGCCTGCAGGAAGCGTCAGTCGTTGGCAATCGGCCTATGAGTGACTCCTTTGGTGGAGTTGTGGAGGGGACAGTCATGCACAGCCCTGAATTTTTTCCCGCCTGCAGGAAGCGTCAGTCGTTGGCAGTCGGCCTATGAGTGAGGATATGTAGCGAGCTCTCATCGGATTCCACTAAGTTGGAAAATGACTGAACAACATGAGCAGCGATATTACATCAAATTTTGCCAAAAACCTTGGTGATACCCAAGCGTAAACCATTTGCAAGATTCAGCAGGCTTTCGGGGACGATCCTCAAGGCCAAGAAAAAGCGCGGTAGGCCCGCAGCAATATCAAGGTCATGTTGACAGTTTTTTTGACTCTTGTGGGGTGGTGTATCGTGAGTACGCACCATGAGGCCAAACCATCACAAAGGAGTACTACCAGAAGGTCCTTCGTCGTCTTTCCGATGCTATGCGACGCAAACGACCAGATCTGTGGTCAATCAAAACTTGCCAGCTCCATCGTGATAACACATCCGCCCATTCTGCGCATCTGATTCAGGCTTTCGTCGCCAAACACAACACTCCTGTGGTTCGTCACGCTCCGTACTCTCCCCACATGGCTCCGTGTGACTTTTGGCTATTTCCCAAGCTGAAAATGCCACTAAAAGGAACCCGATTTTAGTCGAGAGAAGACATCATGTGGAATGTGACGGACCGGCTGATGGCCATTCCAAAAGATGCGTTCCAGCAGTGTTTCCAACAATGGCAGGAATGCTGGGAGAAGTGTATACACTACCAAGGAGACTACTTTGAAGGGGATTAGGGTTTTGTACCTCAAAATCAATAAATGTATTTTTGCCGACCAAAGGTCCGATACTTTTTGAACAGACCTCGTATGAACATTTATTGAATTAAGGAATGCTTGCCATAATCCATGCCCATTTACAGACAATGTTCTAGTCCAAAGCAAGAGGTCCTCTTGCTTTATCTCAACAACAAGTACCGGTACCTGTAAAACTGTTCAATTCCATTAGTTACAGAGAGGTAAAAGTACAAATCTATTCAAAATCAGCATTTTTTATTTGTTCTCTAACTCAAAGTTTTCCTTGTCCCTTAGAGCTTAGAGTTAGAAAAGTTTTACTATATATATGATACATCTCAACAACTGGTTTGTATATATATATATATATATATATGTTTTATAACATAGGGATGGACAAAAGTAGGTTTAAGTTTAATGTTNGAATATTGTGAAATTTAAGTTTCACAATTTTATGATTATTTTGAAACATAATAACTTTCTCATTAGACAGCTGCCTAATAAGAATATACATTTTTTTAAAACTTAACATTGACATCATTCATAATGATCATCTTTCATACTGGTATATTAACATCTTTCTTGAAACTGACATAATTAAGAATATTCATTTCAGTTTAGATCAGTGATCACAATTTATTATTTTCATCTATAATTATCAAAGTAATAAATGTTGGGAAAAATGAAATTGCTTTATTTTATACTCTCTTGAAAATAATACTATTTTGCATATAGAGTAAAGGCCCTATAATTTTAAATATCATTATAATTTATTTTGTTAATTTTTTCATATTTTTAATTAAAATAGTTAAATTTTTTACCTTTTTGGATTTTATTGCTTAAATTATTTTGTCAATAAGTTAGTTTTTTGTACGTTGTCAATTTATAAAACTAAAAAAATAAAAACTTAAGAACTTTCAAATGAAAAAGAAACAAATGAAAAGTTTTGTCTTTCTTTTCTTTTATTCTAGAACAGATCTTTTATTTAATTGAAGTTTTATCTCCAGACAATCAAATAAAAATAAAACACATATTTTCAGATTTTTATTTAAAGTTTTTGAAGATACTTTGGGAAAATAAAGTATAGTTTTTATTTGATGTTGAACAATTAAATTTTTCTTTCAATTAAAATGAAAAAATTGTTTTTCTTTCATGGCCAATAATTTTATTTTCTTAATCATATTACCAGTATAGCTTTCCGGTATGTATTTACTTTGTAATCCATTATATTTTAGTCAGATAAATCTAAATTATTGTTTCATAACTCATATTCTTAATAAATTTTTATTTTATTTTTACACCTATAATGAAAATATCCTGATTAAAAAATAATAGTAATTTCTGTCCATCAATCTTTTTTATAATTAATATAATTTGTATAAGTTTTATGATATCATATATTAACATATATCCTTTTCCTCTGGAATTATGTGTAATATACCTTATGGGGGAAATTCTGTTACTCATGCATTACAATTGAATTACTGGGAATAATAATAATTATATCTTGTGTGTGTGTGTAGAACAATGAGGGCTCTTGCGCAGGAGGCCTCTTTCGGTGGAGTTGTGGAGGGGACAGTCATGCACAGCCCTGAATTTTTTCCCGCCTGCAGGAAGCGTCAGTCGTTGGCAGTCGGCCTATGAGTGAGGATATGTAGCGAGCTCTCATCGGATTCCACTAAGTTGGAAAATGACTGAACAACATGAGCAGCGATATTACATCAAATTTTGCCAAAAACCTTGGTGATACCCAAGCGTAAACCATTTGCAAGATTCAGCAGGCTTTCGGGGACGATCCTCAAGGCCAAGAAAAAGCGCGGTAGGCCCGCAGCAATATCAAGGTCATGTTGACAGTTTTTTTGACTCTTGTGGGGTGGTGTATCGTGAGTACGCACCATGAGGCCAAACCATCACAAAGGAGTACTACCAGAAGGTCCTTCGTCGTCTTTCCGATGCTATGTGACGCAAACGACCAGATCTGTGGTCAATCAAAACTTGCCAGCTCCATCGTGATAACACATCCGCCCATTCTGCGCATCTGATTCAGGCTTTCGTCGCCAAACACAACACTCCTGTGGTTCGTCACGCTCCGTACTCTCCCCACATGGCTCCGTGTGACTTTTGGCTATTTCCCAAGCTGAAAATGCCACTAAAAGGAACCCGATTTTAGTCGAGAGAAGACATCATGTGGAATGTGACGGACCGGCTGATGGCCATTCCAAAAGATGCGTTCCAGCAGTGTTTCCAACAATGGCAGGAGCACTGGGAAAAGTGTATACATTACCAAGAAGACTACTTTGAAGGGGATTAGGATTTTGTACCTCAAAATCAATAAATGTATTTTTGCCGACCAAAGGTCCGATACTTTTTGAACACCCCTTGTATATACAGGTAGATGTGTATCAGCAGTGGTTATGATAAGCACTGCAGAACTGGAAGCAGTCTCATGGAAAGATAAAAATCATAAAAATTGTCTCAATTTTTACTACAGTTATTATATAAATTATTATTTGTTAAAATTAATGTTTTTATTATTACAATTGAAACTGTATATAAAGTCAAGATGATTCTATTAGAGTTGTGTGTTGCATATCTTCCTGCAACAACAGCCTCATATTATAGAGCCAGAATCTGTCACTGATATGTAAATACATTCTGTAGCAATAATCTGCATGATCAATATACTTTTAATGATGACTATAAATCAAACTTAAATCAAAATAAAATATATATGACCATTAATTGATGGTCATATATATTTTATAGTTTATGTTTTCTCTGTTGTTTTTTATGCTCTTTGATTTAGGAAGGGATAATTACATAAAAAAAAATTTTGAAGACATTTGATTTAAAATATTTTTTTAAATATTAATTATCCAATATAATATAATTTATATAGTAGAAATTTCTTAAACTTTTTGATAATATGTATTCTGTTACTTAATGAAATATAGTAAATAAATTTTTAAATAATCTTTATTTTGTTTTTTATTTCTCGACATTCTAGTCTAATTTAGAAAGTTTCTTTTTGCATTTTTTTCTATAATAAAATTTATGTATTGTAGGTGGGCACAAAATATCGTACTGTTCAAATGGCCCAAACGTTTTCATCAGCTTTTCTTCAGCCACTTCTTCAGATGTCCCTTGCACCTGATCCAGCTGTACGTTTAGTTGTTCAGCAAATACTTCATACTTTACTCGATCGTCATGACAATCTTCCAAATCTCCTTGAACCATGGTATTAATTTTATCTTATATTATCTTTATAATTAGGTTTAATTTATAACATTTCAAATTTTTCAGTGTTATTGAGCCATTTCCCCAGTTAAATGTTGAAAAATGTTCAAGACAAGATTCAATGTTTATGAAGAAAGTTTGTCCAGAAATTTTATTACATATTTATGAAAATATTCAGTTAGGAAATAATTCTAAAGAAAACTTTAGTGCACTATACACTACCTTAGCTTTGTTATGTATTGAGCTTGGAAGCGAAGAAGCATTAATAGAATTGCTTCGCATTACATTTGCATTGCAGGTATGAATTTGCTCTAGGTTTTGTACATTATCTCCTTAATTTGCATTTTTGAAGATACAAATAAAAATGAAATTATTTGTTTTTAGGAATTGCCTTCTACAAACACTAGCATGTCTTCTGCACAGCGAATAGCTATTCATCATATTGTAGCTGGTTTCTTATATTTAATTGGACATCTTACAGCCATTCCTGCTTTGTGTACACATATTGATCAAGTAAGTAGTTGTTTTTCATTCATAGAGGTGAATTCTTCATATTCATGAATGCTTTCTTCTCTGATTCTTTATTAATAATATGAGTCACAGTGACTAATTTAATGTATTTAAAATAGTTTTTTCACCACCATCAAATGAATAAGTTTTTATAATTTATTTTATTTACAAAGTAAGCATTTAGTCTATATATAAATAGTGAAAATATATTTCAATCAATACAAAACATTCTTTAATCTTTCTTTAAAAACATTCAAAACTGTTTATGTTCCTGCATATATATATATATATATAATGTGTGTGTACATACATACATACATACATTAGACTCTATTTATTGTAATAAACAGAGTCTACTGTGTAGATGGATGTGTGATATGACAAGGAGGGACAGAATTAGGAATGATTAAATCAAAGAAATTGTCAAGCCGAGTCCTATAAGTAAGAAGGTGTTGGAACGTAGACTGAAATGGTTTGGACCTGTGGAGAGAAGAGGCAAAGAGTATGTTGGAAATAAAATTGGGAAATTAAGTGATAGAGGGAGGAGGAGACCGGGAAGGTCGAAGCCGAGACGAACCGACAAGGTGGCAGAAGATTCGAGAGGAGGAGGACGGAGGAGAGAGAGGATGCCACGGATATGGAGAAATGAAGAAAATGGATCAAAGATGGAAATGCTGACCGAATACAAACATGTGGGGGAGCAAAGATAAAGATGACTGTTTAATCATATTATATTTTCGTCTACTTTGGACATTCTTATGAACTAGGACTTGTTATATTGAGGGAAGAGAAAAAAACAATTTCCAATTAAAATATATTTATTGTAATGTGCTTTTAAAGACTGTTTAATCACTTTGGGATTTGCTTGAACTTAAACGTTATGCAAAGTAAATAAATCAAAATACAATTAGAGGAAATTCTGATATTTACTCTAATAAAATAAGGACATGGTTAAATAATTTTAAAATGTGTAACTTGAAGGCTTAATTATAATTATTATTAACTAGCAGACCCTGCTAGGCGTTGTTGTGGCTCAAAATGTATCTATTACACAGGTCAACAGTGATTTTGGTGCCCAGGTATTTTGAGCTGATTTCATATGAATTTGATGTCCTGAATTCAAATATGGCATTAGTTTTTGCCTAGGAGCTCTAATTTTTAAGATATAGCATTTTAGCGAAATATACATTTCAATATCTTAAGTTAAATCCATGGATCAAGTAAAAAACTAAACACGGAATTTTTATTATTATATTATGCAAATATTATTCTATACAAAGATAGAGGAAAAAGTCATCAATAAAACTAAACAGTTACACATTGAGGAAGCTTC